AGGCAGTGTGGGGTTAGTGGTGAGAGCCGAGGCACTGGGAGAGACAGAGGGAGGCAGTGTGGGGTCAGTGGTGAGAGCCGAGGCACTGGGAGAGACAGAGGGAGGCAGTGTGGGGTTAGTGGTGAGAGCTGAGGCACTGGGAGAGACAGAGGGAGGCAGTGTGGGGTCAGTGGTGAGAGCTGAGGCACCATCAGCACCCCTCTGCTCGGTGAATTCCTCCCGCGCCTCTGCCCCCTTCCTGCTGCTCTGCGGAGGAGCCTGGAATTCCACAGGCCGGCACGCCAGGCAGGTCGGCGCTTGTCAGCGCAGGCGGAGGAAGACAGAGCGGAGGGAGAACCTGTCCTGACCCTTCCAGCGCAGAAAGAGGAGGAGCCCGACAATGCAGGAGGTGGACTAATAAAACAATTAATTACACTTCTATAGTGCCTTTCTGGACACTTCACTCCAAGCGCTTTACAGGTCATGGGGATCCCCTCCTGCACCACCAGTGTGCAGCCCCACCTGGATGATGCGCCAGTCCGCCCCCCCCACACCAGCTCTCAGTGTGGAGGAGAGCAGAGTGATGGAGCCAGTTCAGAGATGAGGAGGCCAGGACAGTGAAATTAACACTAACATTAACCAGGACACCGGCATAACACCCCTACTCTTCTCAAGAAACGCCCTGGGATTTTCAATGACCACAGAGAGTCAGGACCTACATCCCATCCAAAGGACAGTGCCTATTTTAACAGTGTAGTGTCCCCGTCACTATACGGGGGCATTAGGACCCACACAGACCGCAGGGTAAGCGCCCCCTGCTGGCCCCGCTAGCACCTCTTCCAGCAGCAACCTCAGCTTCCCCAGGAGTCTCCCACCCAGGTACTGGCCAGGCTCACACCTGCTGGGCTCCAGTGGGGTTGCGTTCCGAGACCGTGTCCAGAATCGTGCACAAGGCAGCGTTATCACTGGCCAGATCTTTCGGGTTAAGACCAGAAAGAAGCTGGTCCTGCAGGATTCGGTCTATCAGACAGCTACAATGTGCCCCCAGCACTGGGCGCAGCATCGCGAGAGAATCAGAGACCACCTGGCCAGGTTCAATTCATTGCCTACATTCGATCGCCTGCGCACATCCTCCTGTGACCCCTCCTTCCTCATCTTCCTCACATCCGTTTCCCAAGCAGCTAAGAACGTCTACAGCCTGAATATGAGCACACCCGGGCCCAGCAGAATTGAGCTTGCTTTACCTGCACAGCAGGTCCGGCTTTTACAGAATTTCTGTAATAAAACCGTCCCATTTCCTCGTCACCAGTAGGAGCCCATGACAGTATTCACATTTTATAATTATTCCTGAACACACTGAAGCCAACAGGTTTGCATGTTCTAATCGCTTCAGAGTTCAGGGGCGCCTTTCCCCAGCAAACAAAGGGCGCAAGGCAGGCTACACCACGGTCAGGGTGGTGCATCACATCAGTCCATCACAGGGCACGCAGACACAGACACACACTCACACCAG